TCATGGGTCACACAGCCCACTTCATCAGATAGATACATGGTTGACAATCAGACTGGGGGAATTTTTATGGGAAAAGAGATTGGGAAAATACGCATTGTTAGTCTTTAAGGTGCCACTAGGTTTTTCGTTTATTTTGCTATGACACATGAACTGCCTTGTACCGAATCGGACTCCTTGGTCCATGACAGTCAGTCTTGTCTACTCAGACCGGCAGGGGCTCTCCAAGGTCTCAGGCAGAGGTCTTTCACATCACCTACTGCCAGATCTTTTAACTACAGATACCGGGGATTGAACCTGGGACCTTCTGCATGCCAAGCAGAGGTTCTGCCACTGAGCTGCAGCCCCTCCCCTTTGCCATCTGTGGGTAGTAGAACTGGGAAAGGTGTTTCTTTGCTTGAGGTCATGAAGAGCTGTGGCCAGTCAAAAGTAGCCGATACTGAGCGAGGCGGACCAATGAACTACCGTAGGGGAAGGCAGGTTCTTAGACTCAAGCGATCATTAAACGTCATATTGATAAATCACGGTTTCAGCTCTCTTCTCTCCCTCCACCCCAAATTTATGCAACCAAGTAGACGTTTATGTCCCTGGGTCAGAATAATTATTTAAAATTGCTTGGGTACCTTTGGGACCAAAGTCCTGACCCTGTTTTGAGAAAGGCTTGTGTCAGATATTTTGTGCCACCACCAAGCAAGAATTGTGCATCTGTGAGCTGGAGAAATTGCTGGGTTTTGTCTCTTTGTTTGCATGTCCCCCTCCACTTGCAGTTCTCCCATCACAATGCAAAGATCTCTGTGGTCGGTGGAGGACACGTTTGGTCTGCCTATCTCGTGTTCTTGAAGGTGCCAGGCGACCACTGTGAATGAACAGGGTTGGTGGACAAGGGCTCAAGGATGTAATCGTGGAGAGACCTCTGCTTAATTAGGCATCAGTAGAAAATAGTCAGTGGTCGCCATGATGTATTTATGAAGGGACTATCGCTCTATTATATATTTTTTAAAAATCAATCAATCCCAAGCAGATGCTCTGCCACTGAGACAGCCAGTCTTCAAGGTGGAATCGGCCTTATCTAGAGATGTAAAATTTCCGGAAATTTTGATGCTCGGAAAAAACCCTGGTTTTTTTCCGGGTTTTTTCGGGGAGAAACGGAAATTTTCGGAAAAATTGAAAAAAATGCTACATTAGCATTTCTTTTGTCTTTTCTAGATTGAAAGTCATTCTGTTACTTTAGGAACATAAAATATGACTATGGACATTTTTACTTGGCATGAAATTATCACAACTAGCATATTAAAAATATAGTGTATCCAAACAATTATTACAAACAGAATACCCACCCACATGCACTAAAGAGCCCTAAGCACCTTAACCTTTCCTCATAGGGAAAGTGTTCCAACCCTTTTATCATTCGAGTTGCCCTTTTCTGCACTTTTCCCATATACTTATATGGAAAGTATACTGAATCAGACCCTCTTTGTCCATCAAGGTCAGTGATGTCTACTCAGACCAGCAGTGGCTCTCCAAGGTATCAGACAGAGGTCTTTCTCATCACCTACTGCCAGGTCCTTTTAACTGGAGATGCCGGGGATTGAACCTGGGACCTTCTGCATGCCAAGCAGATGCTCTGCCACTGAGACACAGCCAGTCCTCAAGGTGGAATCAGCCTTATCCACCAGCTGAGAAGGAGAGCTCTGGCAGACCAGCTCACAGATGCTGCTTGTTTGCTTGGTTTCTAACTTTTAAAAATAACTGCAGTGCAAACAGAGGACCTGTCATTTGAGAGGGAGAGTCCAGTGCAGACCAAACACATCGTCCCCGATGACAAGATACTCCCCTGCCTTGATTGAGCTCCCAGAGAAAGAAGGCAACAGCCCAGTCTAGGGATCCCCAAACTTTTTGAGCCTGTGGGCACTTTCAAATTCTGACACCGGGTGGTGGGCACAATCACAAAATGGCTGAAAATGTGAGGCAGCAAGATTATATAAAACTCCAAAAGTAACAGTTCGACGTTCCAGGCTGAAGCTATGCCTAACAGGATGCATTTTAATATGCACAGCCAATCAGAAGCCTTGTTGAGCAAAAGCCCCATTCGGCTCCACCCACTTTTTGAAAGCACTTGGCAGGCAGCAGGAACCAGGAAAGGTGTCGGTGGGCACCTTGTTGGGGAACCTCAGACCAGCCCATCCCACATGGCATTTCCCCTCGCTCTCCTGATACGGAAAGAGATCACAGCCCCAACTGCACCCCAGGCCCTCCCAGACTCAGGCCCATACAGCAGAAGGGGCTCACCTGGTTCTCCTGCCTCAAGAGGAACTCCTCGGCCAGGGCCACCGCCTGGGAGCAGTTCTGGGGGCAGCTCTCCCTCACCCGGTTCTGGACCTCCGGGGGCAGGACGCTCAGCAGCTGTTCTAGGATCAAGAGTTCCAGGATCTGCTCCTTGCTGTGATTCTCCACCCTCAGCCACCCACGGCACATTTCCCGAAGTCGGCTGTAAGCCCCCCGGGGCCCCTCGGCCTCCTGGTAGCAGAAACGCCTGAACTGCTGGCGCTGCTTCTCCCGGCTCAGGGTGTCCCCTCGCAAGATGGCTGCCTTCACCTTCCCATAATCCTCTCTGTCACTGACATCCAATCTGTTGAAGGCCTGCTCAGCTTCTCCACTGAGGGCTGGCAGGAGTCGGGTCACCCACTCTTCCTGGGGCCACCGACAGGCTTTGGCCACTTGCTCAAAGGAGGCCAGAAAGACCTTGGCATCTTCCCAGGGGGAAGGTTTCTCTGGCAAGTGGGGGATTCCCCATAGAGAGTGACGGCCCTCCAACGTCCCGAGGAACTCCTGCCACTGGGCTTCCCAGTGTGCGAGGGAAAGGGAACCCTCCCCTGCCTGCTGATCCACTGGGTTTCCTCGTCTCCTTTGTAGGAATCCCTCGATACTCCCAGCCTGGAGGACATGAGGGGATTTTCCTGTCCCGTCTGATGCCTTCTTTAACGGGGTGCTTGGCCCCTCTGTTTTCATACTGAGCGACTGCTGAAATAAGTGCTTCCAATAAAAATCTGGAAACAATTTACAGGGTTGTAGATGGGGCTTCTCCCTGTAGAAAAAAAGAAATAGTACAAAGTGACAGTGGATAAAAGTGGCCCCTATTTGGTTTTTCCTGGTCATAAAATTACTGGTAAAGCTACAGCAGTATGATGGTTAGATATTTATACATAATTTAATGTTGAATAAAAAGGGTTTGCTGTGCTCATCTCCGTTTCAAAGCCGAAGAGCCAGCGCTGTCCGAAGACGTTTCCGTGGTCATGTGGCCGGCATGACTAAACATCAAGGCGCACGGAACGCTGTTACCTTCCCACCGAAGTGGTACCTATTTATCTACTTACAATTTCTTGCTTTTGAACTGCTAGGTTGGCAGGAGTTAATATTGAATACATGCATTTAAATTCTTAAGATGTTTAGGATTTCATTTAAAGGTTGGAATCCAAATTTTTGGGTTGTCCTGTAGGAAAAAAACCTAACAAAACAAGCAAAACAACTGTGCGCTATATTTCCCACAACATATTCATAAAGGAGACTTCATTTAAAGTGTGATATATCTATTATATGAAGTCAATATGCCCATACAATCCATCATAGGGAAATACCGAGGCCAAAGAGTAAATATACAGAATTATATAAAGAAAGTCCAACACTTTTCCCAGGTAATCTTTCAGTGTTTCAGAGCTCTGGTCCTTCCTCAGGAACAAAGAACTACTGCTGAGAATACCTTTTCAGTTCCTTTCAAGGTAATGCTTTTCTATTATTGCAATGTTGGGCAAGGTCTCCCTAGCTCTAACCAGCACCCTTTTAGGTTACTGCAGTGTTACAGGACACGGGAGGTATGTTTTGGCATGTGTTGTGTTCTAATGGCGACCACACATGCGGTCGCCCTTACACGTGGCCATGCGAACTGACATAGCTTCGCATCCTTGGACAACAGAAGGAGAGGATCCTAACACCAGCCTATCGGCTTGTCCAGATCCTCAAGGGAACCTATGGTTGCAATAACACTGTAAATAATCCAATCACGGGTGTGGGTGTGTGTTGGGGTGTGGTTTGTAATTGTATTTAAGGTGGGCCTCTGGCCGGCGACTGTATCTCCACTTTTCTCCTTTCCTAAGTAAAGTATCCTGCCAACCTAGCAGTTCGAAAGCAAGAGATTGCAAGTAGATAAACAGGTACCACTTCGGTGGGAAGGTAACAGTGTTCCGTGCGCCTTGGTGTTTAGTCATGCCGGCCACATGACCACGGAAACGTCTTCGGACAGCGCTGGCTCTTCGGCTTTGAAACGGAGATGAGCACCGCAACCCTAGAGTCGGACTTGACTGGCTTTCGAGCAAGGGAACCTTTACCTTTACCTATCTCCTTGAGAGCCAGTTTGGTGTAGTGGTTAAGTGCACGGACTCTAATCTGGGAGAACCGGGTTTGATTCCCCACTCCTCCACTTGAAGCTGCTGGTGTGACCTTGGGTCAGTCACAAGCTCTGACAAGAGCTGTCCTTGAAAAGGAGCAGTTTGTGTCAGA